CCTTAATCTGCCCAGATTCTAGACCAGGTGATTTACCTCTGCTAAAAAGCAGACTGGTTTATTTACATAAAGAAACAGCTGCGACCGCATCGACATTATTTTCATGTAATAACTTCACCCATCTGCAAACATGTAGGTGGCCAACTAACTCATAGGATGCATTATTTAGCTATACAGCGGTCCTTATACGTTTTTGATTTAGTCCGTCATATGACGGAATTCACCTTTTCGGAATCGAGGGAGATTACCTCGGTAAAAGCGTCAGCATCAATCTTCCAGTAAAGCCAATCGACAGCTGGTCGAGAGAAATCCGCCGTCGTCTTCTGGTGGGATCGACCTTCGAATCTCTTCACCCAACACTTTCACTCGAAATGGAAGTAAGCTCAACAATTATGAAACATGAGATTCCTCGAAACCCAACTTTTCTTCTCGAAAGCTTAAAGTACTTAAATACGGACCGGAAGAGGATACTTTAAAGGTTGCATCAGTCAGAAATTGAAATTTGCCCCCTCTCCAACGTTGTTTGTGTCACCATCAATTCAAGTACGGATGGCCAGAGACTGAACTCGTATATCTGATCCAGGAAGAATGATCAAGGCTTGCCTTTAGAGCAATTGCGATTGGTGAGGCTTTTTGCCTCGAAGGGATAGAAAGGGTATGCAGCTGGTCATGAGGTGTAGGCTCAGCATGGAACCAGATAGGATGCGTCGACAACTGTCGAGCTAGCATTTCCAGATGTCCCAACTATCTATCTTTATTAGTGCACCTACAAAATGAAGTATGCATAAAAAGGCTTGCTTCGTGTATGAATATGTGAAATAACTCCCAATAATTAGTCATGTTTTTTCTTTTCCGATCAGGAGTCAAGTGCACCTGGTAGAAATGTAAAAACGAGTTAAGATTTGTGAGCTAGGCTAGAATACGTTACTTAGGTAGCTTTTAAAATTGATGTGAAGACTGTCATTTCGTATGAAACTACATGATGAAGAGATTCGAAGGAAAATCTCACAAGAAGACACCGTCTGATTCGCGTTGTACTGCCGCCGTTTGGCCTTAATACGACGTTCAATTTGATGCAGTCAACGCGACATCCTCAAACGCTTCGAGCGAAGACATGCTGAGCTTCCGTTCGTCATGTGACGAACATCGTCAGAGCTGGGGCTTATTCTTGCAAAAAGTCTCAAGTATACACTAAGTCAAGAAGACTAACCGGCTTTTTCTATATTATATAAATACTCGACGTATTGGTAGTCTCGAAACTCTACTCAAATACGAAAAAATATATATAATCATTGCGGGAAAACGCAACGTAAAGAATCACCTACAACTCTATACTATTATTGACATGTTCAGGTTATATATCTGATAGGCTAATTAGCTCCACCAGTATTTCCAGAGAGTGGCTAACTTCATTTGGTAGTCCAAAATTTACTCCTCTTTTCAGTAGAACTTCCACACCATCCTCCAGCTCTGTGCTAGAAAAATTAATTATCTTCTCTTTACAAAATCCATTAGACCTATCCTAATTAATCTTTGCTTTAGATACAAGTTCCCTTAAATGGATCATAATACCCTCGTTGTTTAGCTTCTTATTATGAACTCTCCTTGTCATCATATAAATTGCTTTACCCAAACTATTAGTGATTTCTTGTAATTTATGTGAGTCTTTTTCATTTAAAAGCTGAGAAAGGGTCTGTCTTATTCGGTTTCTTGTTATAATCCGATCGTGTAACTTGGTAATGCTTTCGTTAGGCAGCATTTTCTTCGTATAGCTTTTTATATTTCATGTCAATAAACTATCCATTATGGATCCATCTCAAGTCTCTGTACATAAGAATTTTATTTGATTTTCGATTGATTTCTTTAAATCCGACTTTTGATAAGACTTTCATTTCATATGAAAGTGCATGATAAAGAGTTTCTTGACTTGGTGTTAAGTTGAAGTTTTTGCAGGAATGAGTTCCAGCCCTGAGAATGTCCGTCAAGTGGTATGAAGGATGAAAGCCCAGATCGCTTTCGTCAGATGGCAAGATGTCCCGTGCAATATGTAAATCTTAACGTCGTATTGCAGATAAACTGCCGAGTGATAACGGGGGATCAGATGTCGTCTACTGGTGTGATCACATATTCATACAAATTGAAAATCCCTTGTATCCAAAGTAGAGAAGATGTTAAGGGATTCGTTGAAACCCAGTAGTTTATCATATATACATGGAATACTTTTTTCAAGTGTTGCCAATAAGGGAGCCAAGTTAGTTCTGTAAGGGTTTGCCAGCACTCCTTGAAGTACTTCTCGCTTTTCCAAGGCAATAATCTCTTCAAAAAGAGGAAGCGAAATTCCGTATTTCATGTTGAGTGATAACTTTGGGGCTTTGGGTAGAGTTTTGATGGTGATAATGGTGCTAATTGTGATGCCATTTGCCCTGATGACAGTGACGGCGATGGTGGTGGTAATCGCCGTGACAGTAGGGGCGATTATACTAGTGGCTAGATAAGTCTATCAGTCATGTCACGAGGCCATAAGTTTCGTATGAAAATGGGGTCCAATTCTCTGACTATCTTTCTTCTTCCTTAAGTTTAGATAAGCTTTCACATTTCTTGAATCTAACGCACCGAAAGTTTTAAGATAATCTTCGAAGCCCAATAGTTAATTTTTTATACTTTGCTCTTGTAACTACTCCTAAATTCTTTTTAATAGGAGAATAAATAATGTCAATATTTCAGTGATTAGCTAGTGTAGAACAACTCCACAACGGGCCTGTTCAGACATGCGAATACGACTACCATATCGATACGAGGTTGAGGTGAAAAACAGCTTCCCAGACTCTTATGGAAGAATTGACAAGATTGTGCATCTATAACTGATATGTTGATCGTGTTGGTGATTGTAGTCGTGATAATACTCCTGCCAGTAGTGATGCTGATGTTGAGGTGAATGATAAGAGAGATCGTGAGCGTGGTGGCGATTGTGATATCAATGGTGTAGAAGGTGATAATGAAAGTTGTAGTCATGGTGGTTGTGATTGTGGCCTTACTAGTATTGATGATGGCAACCAGGATGGAAATGAGGCCGGTGATAAGGGTGGCGATAATAATAGTGGTGAGGGTGGTGGTGTTTGTGATGTTGATGATGATGAAAGTGATCGTGATGGTGGTGGGGAAAGCGTAGGCTATGATGATGTAGAGGGTAGTAATGAAGGCTGTGATTATCGTGTTGGGGATGGTGGATGGGGTGAGGCTCATCCTATTGGTGATGCTGATGGTGAGGCTGATGATGAAGGTGTTGGTGGTTGTGCTGTTGATGGTGTTGGTGAAGACAGAAGTCATGGTGGTTTGAAAGGTGGTAATGATTTTTGTGGTACAGATGGTTTGGATGATAGGAAGATGGAGGATTAAGGTGGTGATGATTATGATGACGATGATTTTGATGATGGTGGTGAAGATGAAGCTTATGATGTTTCAAAAGGTACTAGTAAAAGTTACGGCTATTGTGGTTCCGATGATCGTTTTGCCATTAATGATGATGGTGAAGAGGCTGGTGATGAGGGTGGTGGTGAGATTGGTGGTATTTGTGATGTTGATGGTGAGGTCGGAGGTTGTGATGGAGTTAAAGGTGGCAATGAACTTTGGGGTGTTGGTGATAGTTGTTATGATGATGGTCTTGCTGGAGGCAGTATTGGCAGTGAAGCTATGGATGAGGCTGGTGATGAGGGTGATGGTGAATTTGATGGTGAAGATGAAGACAATGGCGTTGATGATTGTGGTGACAGTGATCGTGTTGATGAAGTTGTGATAATAGCAATATTGGGTATAACTATAAGTTAATTTCTCGAATGACAAATTAGGGCGAGACGGCCTAAAAGAGAGCGCCTGCCTGATTGAATGTGGGCTGCTTAAGATAAAGGATCGAGAATGGACCCATTCGCTTTTAGCTCCATAGCCTAAGAAGTGTCTTTGAAGTGAAATCTCCATAGTTCTTGTGCCCAATTGATTCATGCAGTCTCTATAGCATTCTGACAACACTTCTTCTCAATTCGCAATATGTGACGAGCCTCATTTCTGTTACAATTGGTGGCATTACGTCTACGGCAGAATTGGTTTGTGGAGCGATATCAAGATAGCTTTTACAGTCCATACTCTTTTGCCTCGGCCTACAGATTGCGTGGACTTTACGTCCAGTTGCAGAGAGGATCCCAAGCTGTGCAGATTCACCCTGTACCGGTACTACTGTTGCAGTTCCTGTCGCAAATACCTGAGGAAATTCCGACTTAGCGAACCGGCCACATCCCTGACCCAAGGGCTCGACCCGCAGGGAGCCCCCGCAGCCTGAGTCCGCAGCTTCAATTCTCCTACCAGGCGGCCCGTTCGAGTCTGGAAGGAATTTTGTGTTTGGGCCGGTGTGCACATGAAGGAGTCATCATTCTGGTTGTCTGGTGTGAATAGAGGATATACGGAAAGGCATGTGGCTTCGGAAGATCTGATTTTATAGTGAGGCGAGATGCACCACAAGCTTGTTCCTGGGTCTATCAACCCAAGCGCAAAAATGCACTTGAAATTCACAAAGCGCCCATTCAACCTTGGGGGGAGAAAAAAAATGCATACAATAAACAATAAAATAGCATTTAACAGACGGCTAATGTACTATGGTGAACTGGTCGCCTCCCTCATTGTTATATTAAATTTGCAATTATTTTAATCTGCTCTATTCTGTGCACTGAGATGGGACAACAAGTGGAGAAAATTTTCTAACCTAATAGACTTCTGTGTGAAATCAAGGTTAAGTTGTGGTCATCTATTTCGCTTCAAACATTTTCACTGGGGCCTTCAATGCCTTTATCCTGCCGTTTTGGTCAGCTTCCTCATGATACTGTCTGTATCAGCTGATTTGTGATCATGACTAACTAGCAAAGTTCCAAATCTCCCTCTGTCTCTTTCACTCTCTCGCTTCTCTCTTCCTTCCACTCCCGCTGATTCACTCGTTCACTCCTCACTCATTCAATCGCTCTCATTTTTTTGCCCACTGGCTTATCGTTATACCAGCTTTCCTTTCATTTGGACATTTTTACAGTTCCATAGCGTGAAGGCCTTCTATAGGTAACGTCTCTCAAATACGTCTCTCTTCATATTTCATTATTTTTACTTTCCTCCTCCATATATATCCATACAAATATAAGTATACATTTATATTTATATTTATATATACTAGCATACGAAGTCAACTGGAATTTCAATCTTAGATGCAGAGAATAAAACAAAATTGAAATACATATAAGGAACTCACGATGGTGCTGCGCCTTTTTCGGTTGTGAACTGGCTTTTGCAGCCTGAACATTCTTGCAATGGAGCCAAAGAAAAGGCACCATGATGTGTGCTTTTTAACTTTGACTATTGATTGAGTGCGCGCCAAAATATTTATTTGTCATCATAATCAGGAGGTATGACAAGGCCTGGGGATGAATCATGGCCTTTTGACTCCGTGTCAGCAAATCTTGTAATGAAGTATTGAAGAGAAATTGGGTTTTAACTATACGGATTTTTCCGGTAAGTGAGGCAATACAAATATTACTGATAATATTCTATCGGATGCCTGAGATTATAATAGGAAAAATGTTGGAAAGAGTCATTCATGAGATTGATGAACTTATTCATGAACAATACATCTTTTATCGTTATTGGTAAATTGGATAAATAAATACACGGTTTACCGATAATTTGATGGCTCATTTCGAAGTGGACTTACTTTATATAGGCAGTTGTAGTTACCAGGCTAACGGTTAAATATATTAAAAGCTACTTTGCTGTTCTGTAGCATTAAAGAGAGATGTTGAAGGAACTCTTTAAATAAATTGGTAGAGCAGATTTGACGACCGAATACGCAATGTAGTTATATAGATACAGTAAATTAAACTTTTTGGATGTCTTCCTTAGTAAAGAATGGAACCAATTTGGTAGTCATATTTATAGGGGATGTATGAATGCGAATTTCTTTCTTGGTTTATTTTACGATCCTATTTAGGAGCTTGAAGTGGGGAGTATAAGCCAATGAGGAAACAAATTTACTTAATGTGGACGCAACTAGTCAGAATTGAGAGTTATAAACGTTAAGAAAAAGCTTAGTTCATACTCATTTTCCATTATAACCAATTTCTGATTATTTTTCAATAGTAAGAACTAAGAGATGAGAAGGCATAATCTCTCGGGTTCCTGATGCTGCTTGTATATCAGCCTATAGAAAAATAGAGATGTCGGGATGCCGGAGTGATTAATTTTCTCTTCCTTCATGCCTTCTTTTAGCCAATCTATGCGTCCAGTCAGGTTGGTATTAGGTTTATCGTCTATGCGATAGCATCTGTGTGGGGGCGATACTCGACTCGCCAAGATTTGAAGGAACATAAATTGCATGTAGCTTAATAAACAGCCCATACAGGCTACCAGAAAGGAAGAATTTGTTGCTATTTGGAAGATTTGGGAGTCGACAGAAATGAAAAAACGGCCATCATCCCCAGCGGGAGAACGAATGTGCGAAATTAAGTAGTGTACTTAGCCAAGGAGGTAACGGGCATTGAAAATAGCGCTAAGAATAATAGAAATCTTGATTATACTGGAGCCTAACTTGGGTTCTAACATTTCAACTGACTCCCGAACATTACTTGTACACAGGGCACATGTATCCACAAAGCAGAGCGAGATGCTAGTTTTTTGTGTAGAAAAACAACTGAGATCAAATGGACTAACCTTTGATGCGTGGAAATGCATTTGCATCTGCAAGTGCTAAAAGTATGCATGAAGTAGTAAATCAAATCATGACATTCCTCATTAAGGTTGCAAGCTTAAGCATAAGAAGTAGGTAGGATTTAAGCCGGCCATGTTTTTTGTTTAGGGTCTTGGTGAATTTTTCATAAATTATTCTTATAGACTTTGACTTTGTCTTTCGTTTATAAGTAGTCCTTCATACGTATTCACCCTATTTCGTTCACGTTGCTAAAGGTCTGGTTTTTTAACCTTTCAACGATTAAATGAATAATCCATTGAATTTCACATAGCCTCATCCAAGCAGGAGTAGACTGCAGTTTCGACCTCTCCGGCCCCATCGGCACCTACATCGTTACTCAAACCTGGGGCGTGGTAGCGCAGCATATAGTCTCGACAAGCTAGTCACTACGTCATACTACCACGAATTGCTTTGGGTCACAGGGCAGATGGAACTTTTAAGGAAGGCCAAGCCATTACCCATATCGAATTCTTTAGTTGGATTATCGATGAAGCAAAATTGTATTTTCTATAAGAATCGACTACATTACTTATTTTTCCTTTGATAGGCCT